TAACACTGAAATGCCCTCAACACGCCGAAACTATAGCTCACCCATCCGACCAACCCGCATGATTCCTCGCTCGCATGCGCACAAACCAGTCAGCCACGACCGCGGCCCGGAGTCCAAAGAAGACACTCAAACCAACTTTGATGCGTTGAACGTACTGGGTAACATCCCTGCGCCAACGACGGCCATTGATGCATGCCTCGATTCCGGGTTCCATCTGAACAATGGTGTCAAGCTTACCAACGGTGATGGGTTGTTGCTGGTCGGCGGTGAGGCATTTGCCTGGCGGCCGTGGAAGGCTGTCGAGGGTGCGGAGAGCGACCGTGTCGCCAAGGATGCTATGCTCAATGCCAAAGGGCAATTTGAGCTTGATGAGTCGGTCTGGGGGTTGTTGAATCTTGTCTGGCCAAAGCCTGGTATGTTGACTCTTGCTCTTCGCTTTTTTGGTCCCAGATATTTGCCTTCGTCCACGAACATGACATGCTTGGACTTGACCGCAAAATAACTCTTCGATTTGCTAACAGGTCCACCACAGATATGCTCATTCTTGGTCTTGGTGGCTCGATATTCCCGCTCTCACCTGAAACTAAGCGTCACATCAACTCATTGGGTATTCGGGTGGATGTCCTCGATACCCGGAATGCGGCCGCGCAGTTCAATCTGCTTGCTACGGAGCGCGGTGTTACTGAGATTGCTGCTGCCATGATTCCTATTGGATGGAAGGCTAGACCTCTCTAGGGCTTAATAGGGTTCTCTTGAGAAATGACATGTATCATATAGATAATTTGAGTATATATGGCCTAGGCCGGTTCAAAATGAAACAATTCTTCTCCTTACCTTCCTCGGTTGTACGAAAGGGCAGGTGTAGTTCTTATACGTTGCATAGTTACATGTTACCCGACCCCTTGATACGGCTGTGATGCAGGAAACGTGACCTCGGGGCGTGCCCTGTTATCTTATCCTTATCTCCTCACCTCCACCCCAGGGTTCAAGGTCCACGTGAGTCAACACAACCTTCCAAGGGAAGCTCGCAATCGAAGTTCTCGGGCTTGTATTTCTTCAGTCTTGTCCGATTTTGTCTTTACGTTAGCTATGGCGCGGGAAGAGTCCCTCCTACCTCCGCGCCTGTCCGATGACGGCTCGTCGATCCGAAATGAAGAGGAGGACTACGCCCTCCTGACCGGCGAGCGAACGGCCCCCCAAATCAAACGACGCGTCTGGCCTTCCTGGCGGGAAATTGGAGTGTTTTCCTGGGCCCTTATTGCAACAATCTTGGTAATTGTGCTGGCCGTGATCTACCCACACAAGTCAGCGGAGCCTCACGGCCATTATCCGTCAAATACAACCTGGGGCCCAGGAGGCAAGCCGACGGGCAAGCGGAACCTGATCTTCATGGTGTCTGACGGCATGGGTCCTACTAGTCTCTCGCTGACTCGAGGATACCGGCAATACACGCATGATCTGCCATTCGACGACATTCTGGTCTTGGATAAACACCACATTGGAACTTCGCGAACACGGTCAAGCTCGAGCTTGGTGACGGACTCTGCTGCTGGAGCCACGGCCTTTTCATGCGGTCGTAAGAGCTACAATTCTGCTATCTCAGTGCTTCCTGACCACTCGCCTTGTGGGACTGTGCTCGAGGCGGCTGCGTTGGCTGGTTATAAGACAGGTCTGGTTGTGACCACCCGCCTGACGGATGCGACTCCAGCATGCTTTGCCTCGCATGCCAATCTGCGGAACTACGAAGATCTGATTGCCGCGCAAGAAGTTGGAGAGCATCCGCTCGGCCGGGTAGTAGATCTTCTGCTTGGTGGTGGACGGTGCCATTTCTTGCCTAACTCACAGGCTGGTAGCTGCCGTGGTGATGATCATGATATGATAAAGGTTGCTGCTCAGAATGGGTTTGGTTATATCGATGACCGTGTGGGCTTCGATAGCCTGAAGGGCGGCGATAATGTCACTTTACCACTGCTAGGTCTCTTCGCTAGCGGGGATATCCCGTTCGAGATTGATCGACGTACTCAAAATGAGACCTATCCCTCTTTGGAGGAGATGACTCGCACTGCCTTGAAGGCCTTGAGCAAGGCCACTGAGGACAGCGAGCAAGGGTTCTTTGTCATGATCGAGGGTTCTCGCATCGACCATGCCGGCCATGGCAATGATCCTGCCGCTCAGGTTCACGAGGTACTGGCATACGACAAGGCCTTTGCTGCCGCGCTCGAGTTCCTGGAGAATGACTCCACTCCTGGCGTGATTGTGAGCACATCTGACCACGAGACCGGCGGTCTTTCCGCAGCACGCCAGCTGCACAAGACCTACCCTGACTATTTGTGGCTTCCGAGTGTCCTGGACAAGGCAAGCCACTCTGCCGAATACCTTGCCGCTCAACTAAAAGAATATCTTTCTGGGCCAGGAAAGGACGCCAAGGATTCGGCTAAACAGGCTTGGGTCCGGCAAGCTCTTAAGGATGGGCTTGCCATTGATGATGCTACAGACCATGAAATAGATGCCTTGCTTCACCCCGTCCCCGACGTCACTGCGGCGTATGTGTTCGCGGATATGATCAGCCGCCGCGCCCAGGTCGGTTGGAGTACTCATGGACATTCTGGTAAGATAGTCTCGACCAGTGACCCATGACAGTATGCTAATTTCGTTATAGCTGTTGACGTCAACATTTATGCGTCGTCTACCAAGGACGCTTGGCCACTAGTTGGCAACAACGAGAATACCGACGTGGGAGACTTCCTTGCTGACTATCTTGATCTCAACGTCGACAACGTCACAAAGTTGCTACAAGACACCAAGTCTGGAATCTCACAATCATACGATTGGATGGGTGATCGCCTTGGCTTGAACTTCCACACCGATGGACTAGACACTTACCATGGAGACTTCAGGAAGCGATCTGCCGATGATTGTGGATGTGGTGCTGCACACTAAACGACAGCCACCACTCGGTATTTTTCCCATTCTGTTGGATTTCTGTATTAAGCATCTCTGTGGATATTTCGGGGTTTTATCATCATCATTATCATCATCATTATCATCACCATCATACATATATACAAACCGATATCTCACTTCCTCGAACATCCGTGTACAACTGACGCTGATCTTATCAAATAAGCATTGGTATTTTGAGTGCTATTCTCTCCTTGAACTTCAAGATCACCCAGTAAAATCAACTTCAATACAATTGCATAGTTACATGTCACCTCATCACCAAACATCCTTATCTCACAATGCACCAATCGAAATCACAACCCTTTTGCTTTACAATCAGGACAGTTCTCTACCAAATCCATAATCTGGTGCACGATATTGCTCTCTGAAATGACACTCAGATAACCCATATCCGGACGAAGCGTGGCTGATCTCATTTTGATTTTGTATGGCTGGCAGGTAGGAAAATCAGAGTCAAATGGTAAATCGTAGTCTCTTCGTTGCTCCGGATCATTGATGCGATTTAGTTGGTGGAGGATTTCGCGACAAAAGATGTAGAGCTCGAAGCACGTATGCTTGCAATTGGAGTAGTGGGTCTCCACAAATAGACACATGTTGGTCCAGCTCGCGTAGATGACATACGAGGTTTATTGCTCTCTGTGTTCATCTGCCTTAAGAGAGCTTTGCTCTATGTTGGTGCGGTTCGAGGTAGAATGCCTATTTAGTTTGTTGGTTGTATCCGCTCTTTGTGGATTTCGGAAGGACGATTGTTGACTGCGATGTGAGTCTCAAGTGAGTTGTGTAGATTGAGACTAGCTAGGAAGGCTTTGGTTGTCATACGTGAAGCAAACTTGTGGGTGAGTGAAGTGCTAGATAACTTTGCGTTAGAACATGTCCCAAAACCGAGTTGGAAAACCATATACGAAGAAGCAAGAAGCGGGCATTGCGCAATGATAAAGTAATGCTGCCATTGATAGAGCACCGTGAATAATGTTAGGCCACGTAACGTAGTGACAGTGAAGCGAAAGTGAGCTAAAGCCCAAGCCTTCTATGTTGCTACCCTGTTTACTCCACAGGAAAGAATTCCTTTACCTATCTACATGACTTTTTGGGGGTAACTCATTATGAAAGGGGTAGCTGTATATTATGTACACAACCTTTCAAGTACGGGACAAAGACTTTATTGAAGGTAAACAACGTTACTATAAATGCCCAACTACCTAGGAGAGTAGTTATGTAGTGTAGACCATATGTTCTACAAGATGTCAAGAAAGAAAAATGGAAGGATTATTATGGAAGACAGCTTGGTGAGATAAGCGCAAAGAGAGTATGAAGTCAAACATATATGGCATGGACAAAGCCAAATATTAAATGTCATAAGCTGTGATAGATTTCAATGTTCTTACCCATGGACATCTAGAGCATCATTATATGAAGCTATACTACATGAAAAGCACTCCCTGTCTTGTTCAACCGGTGCTATACCTTGTAGCCTCAGTTCTCATATCGAAGCAATAAAACACTTCGATAACCATTACCTAGATTGGTAGGTAGTTATATACTGAAATAAGAAGAAAAAAGGCTGCTCAATGGTAGCTGTCTGATCAACATAAAACAGCTATATGGCCAAGAGTCTTCTATGATCAGAGAATTGACTTTATCTACGGACTGCATTGTCAAAGGCACCTCTTTAGCATAGCCTGATGGATATGGGCAGGTATGCCCTTTTCCCATAACCTCACCTAGGTAACCTTCTCAGATTGTAGTATAAAACTCACGTGCACAAATCCGGTTGTATCACCCCAGTTAGAACATTCGAAGGTCGCAGCTGCCAATTTAAACCAGATGGTCTAACGCTTACCTGCATTTAATCCTCGCGTGCTTCTCTCTCTTGATGTTTGTTAACATACAGATAGCTTTTACATCACCCAATCACCTTGCTCTATCGTCGCCCATTTCAATCGAACATACCTTCAATATCATTGGCAGGATCAGCTCCATCAGCCATTTGCTCCATCAGTAGATTAACTCCCAAAAAGGAAACAAGAACTTCGAAAATGAACATGTTTCTCCAGGACCCAGAGAGTGAGAAGCTCTTGAGCGAGCACAACCGGGCTCTTGAAGCTGACGAGGCCGTCAAGGGTATGCAATTCAAACCAAAAGTGACACGACATAAACTCTTGAAACAATTCAAGTACCGACAAAAGATGAACAAAGATCAGCCACGGGGACGAGCTAGCGCCAGCACGGTGGATGTCTCCTTTGCCCCTCCCATCTATCCACCATGTCTCTCTCAGCTGGAAGGCCTGAAAAAGGTCATGTTCAAGGATTTGCTTCTTGAAACTCATCATCGGGGCTATTACATCCTAGTTAGATCAATCACCCAGGCAGAGAAGATGACTGCAGCTATGGCCATTGTGGAACACGGAAATAAAGATGCGATCCCGCTCCAAATGTTGAACAAGAAGCTCCGCTGCCATGATAGCTCTGTTGGTAAAGGGCGGATTTTGCTTGTGAAGGAGCCATACCTAACTTTGACGTCCGTTGGAGAATACGGGGTCAGAGTTGATCACGTTTCTGATATCTTGCTCATCCCATTGTTCGACAAGATGGTCCCATCAGCTTGGCGAGAGCAGCTTCCAGAGGATGAAACCTCTCAGTGGATGGCTAGGGACTGGCTAAGGTTGGGCAACGAATATCTCAACCGGAGCAAATTTTATTCTGCCACTGAATGGTAAAGTGTCCTAGTAGACTTTTCAACGGCGAGAGAATGCTGATCACAGTGATAGTTACACCAAAGGATTGGAGTGTTCGCCGACAGAGGAAGAAATGCATTACCTTCTGTACTACCGGGGCTTGGCCTCTTTCCAGGTCCATGAGTAGGATGCAGCTCTGCATGATCTCGATACCGTTCCAGCAGGCCCAAAATCCGATAAAGCCCTTTGAGGCAAAGCCCAAACCCTATACCATCTGAGAAGGTTCTGGGAAAGCTGCGATGTATTCACGAAACTCTGCAAGAAACATCCCGAAGATGTCGGTGCCAAGAACGATTGAAGCTATTGCACGACTTTTAGAACAAAAGAAGGGCGGATACAACTTCAAGATAATGCAGGAAAAAGCATCGAAGACCTACCCGCCACTCCTGGACCATGCGACATGGGTTGGCCCGGTGACAGTCCGGCAAACCAAATCCCAAGGACGAGGCCTATTCACAAAGGCAGTCAAGGTCGGCGATTTACTTCTCTGTGAGCTCGCATGGCTTACTTGATTTCTGTTGGGGAGGGAGCAAGCTTTGATGCAACTTATGAAATAAGCTTCAAGGTGGTTCATGAGCCTTGTTCTGAGGATGGCCAGGTGGAAGGATGGGTAGTTTAGGACTTGTGGTCTGGGATGTAGTAAGAGGGGAATATGGCAAACATGTACCTATGTGCACAAAGGATTTACAACAAATTTGTTATCCATGTATTGTAGATGGGTTGTAGATGGATTAAGAAATGAGTATGAAATTAGGTACAACATACAAAGACATCACCCACATATGCCCATGTGTACGCCGTGCATGTACATCACAATTTCCCGCGTTATGGTGCCACATGGCAGATTGCTGACGCGGCTGACCAGTCAGATAACATGGCGCTACTTCTTCTTTGAGTATCAAATCCTCAATCTAGTCCCAATTCGGTTATACTCTAGGGCTGTGGCTTACACATTGCTAGTTACCAGTTTAACGGCTGTGGACCCCCCCAGGATACCCCCGTTCCCGTTCCGACACTTTCACTCTCCACCTTTTCCTCCCTTGTCAATATACCTTGTCAATATACCCTGCCTTTGAGAAAAGTGTCGACAACATGGGAAAAATGATCAAAACGGAAGAAACGGAAGAAATCGCGGTGGTAAGTGGTGCTTTTATAATCTGATTGGGTCATTCTCACCGCTCACCTAGGACCCCGATTTCTACGCTATGGAAAGTTACTACGGCAGGGATGCACAGGACCTTCAGTCGTGAGTGGAGGGTCACTGCGAATTATATCTATGACAGCATTCTCAAAGTATGTAGGGATACCACCTCTATCGCATCCGTGATCGCGAGAGGACGGCTAGAGAACGGCCGAAGGTCAGTATACTTCTAGTCTACGATCGCTTTCTAATACTAACCCGATATTGTAGATATCAAGCCATTAAAGAAGATGACTACTGGTTAGTCATGACAAAGCGATGTTGTTTTGCGTATAATAACCATACCAAGGGGTCCTTCTGACGAACAGCAATTCGAGGCCTTTGAGATTGGGTAAACTGCATCCTGCCCCCATACCTTTCAATCCTCAATAGCTAGAAATGCTGTGATATTAACGGACTCAGCCATATGATGTTTCTCGTGCTAGATTACGATCAGCCGAATCCTCTTTTCCGGGCCCCTATCCGCGATTCGCCCAAGGTGAATTTATACCGCGGTGATCCTTGCTCAAACCTTTCGCTAATCACGCAGTATAGAATATTTTGGACATCGGAACGGGCCAAGGGAATTGGGCAATGTAAGTCCACGAGTAACTCTTTTTAAGAGAACCTCTAACAAGTTCTTAGTGACGTTGCCGATCGCTATCCGTCAGGTACTGGATTTCTTGATTCGACTCCTCCTATTCTTGACTGAACTCCCCTTAACTAAAACCAATTAGCTACCATCCGCGGAGTGGATATTTTCCCTCCACCTGTGACATGGATGCCACCGAACTGCATCTTCGAGGTGGATGATGTGCTTCGCGAGTGGACATGGAGGGAGCCCTTTGACTTTATCCATATGCGCCTAATGTACGGCGCATTCCCTCCTGAGGGATGGCACAAGCTATACAAACAGGCTTACGAGTGAGTTTCGACCCCTATCAATCGATTTCCTGAGACATCGCACCTAATTTCTTTTTCGCAATAGCGCCCTAGAGCCGGGTGGCTGGATCGAACAAATGGAATTAGACGTGCGAGTCTATAGCGATGACGGTACCCTGAGGAAAGATCACCAGCTATATGGGTGGGGCAACATGTTTATTAGATGCTCTGAGCGAGCTGGACGGTCCCTCAGAACCCACGAAACGATGCGCGACGCAATCGAAGAAGCCGGGTTCGTGGACGTGCATGAGGAAAAGTACAAAATTCCCCTCGGGCCTTGGGCCAAGGATAATATACTCAAGGAGACCGGACACCTCCAGCATGGCCATTGGAACGCCGCTCTAGAAGGTTGGGCGATGTGGCTGCTCACTCACTATGGGGAGCCGGTGCCGTGGACAAAGGAGGAGGTGCAGGTGTATTTGGCTAAAGTGCGCAAAGAGCTGAACAATCCGCACATTCATGCTTATGAACCTGCGTAGGTTTTCTTTCGGATTGCATCGCTGGCTTGGTTTGTGCTGATTTATTTTAGGAACCGTGTGTGGGCAAGGAAGCCTACCGAGGAGGAATTAGAAGTGCGGGAGGCAAATATCAAGGTTGAGACATCGCCGTAAAGCCGGGTTGAACATTTTTGATAGGTGGATGTGGTCCTTTTTTTCGCGTTCACGGCTTCTAGAAGCGAAGTTTTTTCGTTGCCGGCTCTTTTCTGTGATCTTTCATGTCATTCCGTATTCTCAATATCAAAGCTTACTGATCATGAAATACTCAAAGTCACGTTAGAAGCGGAAAGGGAAGGCCATGGGGAGTAGTTTGAAATCTGGTATATATGAACAAAAGATCACGGATTTGTAGCTATCTTCCAGTCATGTGCGGGGAATCACAAATCACTACCGGAGTAGCGGTACATCGTATAAATCAGAAAGGGATTGACAGCATGAATCGGCCAAAAAAAAAAAAAAAAAACAAACAAACGCCAGGTAGGTGTATCGAACAAAAACGGAGGGAAATTGCAGATTCGTATGCAGGTTGACCGTTGAACATCACAACCTAATGAGAGAAGAAGATGAAGGGGAAAAAAAAGAAAAAGAGATATAAGGAACAAAGTAGTTCATTAAGTGATTTGTTCAAGGCCAGTCAGAGACAGACGCCAAGGGGGTTGCACAGTAGTCAACAAAAAAATATACTTTAAAAAATGCTGTGCAATAAGCATGGCAAGAAAGAAGAAGATAAAAAAGGTAAAATGCTGATATATATCAAACCAGCAAAAGATTTACAGTGTCACAAGGACAACAAGAGCCACCAGGACGCCGAAGAGCGAGCTGCGGAGGACACGTTCGTTCTGGCCGGCCGCACCGTTGCCAGTAGGAGTGCCCTGGGTAAAGCCCGTAGTGGAAGTCTCCGAGCCATCGGTGGTGGAAGTGCCAGAGCCGGAACTCTCAGAAGTGGTGTTGCTGGTCATGCCACCAGAGCCACCGTTACTGGTGGGGATGCTGTTGGAGCCAGTGCTTGACTTGTTAGCGCCGAGGTCCATGTTGAGACCGGTGGCGCCGAGGGAGGCAAGGACGGTGTTGTTGTTGGTGATGGAGATATCGCCCTCCAGGGCAGCGGATTTGGTGTAGAGGTAAGACTTGCTGCCGCTCTTGGTGGCATCGGAGGGAGGATCGTAGCACTTCACGCTGACCTCACCGACGGTGGCATAGTCGTAGCCGACGGTTTTGATGTCCTCGCTGTTCCAGTCGATCTCACCACCAGCCCAGTCGATGGTACCCTGGGCGTTGCTGGACTGGCCGGCGGGCCAGAGAGACATTTGAAGGCGGGAGGGTGTCTGGGGGAACTCGTACTGCTTGGAGGTCTCATTGTAGGTGTCGGCCTTCTTCAGGGTGCGATGAACGGTGCCGTCGACGACCCAGTCCACCTTCTCAGGGGTCCAGTCGATCTCGTAGGTGTGCCAGTCATTGAAGGTGTCCCCGCCATCCACGCTGATGTTGCCGCTGTTGTGCCCTAATCCATCCAGTTAGTATTGATGATTCGGATCAGGTCATTCTTTTCTCGACTTACAGTCCAGAACACCCTGCCAGTAGTAGTTGGTCTGCACGGCGGTCAAATCGGCACCGACCCACTCGTAGTCAATCTCGTCCTTAACATCGGACAGAAGAATGAAAGCGGTCACGACACCCTTGCCGCGGGAGCTCTTAAACTTTCCAGAAATCTTGCCGTACCAGATGTAGTGGTTGTTGGCGAAGAGAGTACCGACACTCTTGGCAGGCATAGTCATGATCAGATTGCCATCCTCGGTCTTAACCTTTCCGCTGTAGGTCCAGTCAGCAGCGCTGGCGTTACCCAGGTACTTGTCCTGGGTGACCGCATTGTCGAGGTTGTCCCAGGTGTAAGTCTTGCTCTCGCAGACGGGCATAGGCGCGCAGGAATCGAGAGAGAACGAGGCGAGAGGGTCGCAACCACCGAGGCAGTACGCACCAGTACCGCACTCACCATATTCTGTATTGGAAAATCGGTTAGCTATGAATTGCGATCTTAGGGGGGGGGTGGATATCACTCACGGGAACAGCAAGGGTATTTCTCGTCGCACTGGCTGCTGGAACTGCAGGATTGCGCGGCGAAAGCGGTCACTGACAGCGAGGCCAGGACCAAAGGTGTGACAAAGCGGACCATTATTATGTACTGCTGGTATATACAGTGGAAATGACAGAATAACCAAGAATTTGAATCCAAGCCACAGGAAATGAGGGAAAGTGTGGGGAAGCGAAGAAAAGGGGGCAACAATGCAAGTTAATGTGATATAATGTGATATAAACGAGAGGCAGCAAGTGAAGATAAATTCACTGCAAGGGCGATAATTATAACAGAACGAAAGCAAGTTCTCGCTGGAAAGAGAATGAAAACGGAGGGGAAGCGAATAGTTATTAATATGATATTCCGCTCCCATGGCTCTGAAAACATGAAAACATGAAAACGTGAAAACATGAAAACGTGAAATTGACAGAAACTAACCCAATCAGGATGAACTCCGTCCAATCTTGGAAGGGAGGGTCCACTGGTCGAAGTCAGAAAGGGTCAATTTTCTAACCAAGGAACGATTTTGATTGGCCATTGGTTCCTTTTATTTTATATTTTATATTATTTATTTTTTTCCTTTTTCTTTTGTGGAGAGGTTCGGGGGATTTTCGTCTGTGCATGGTATTGGATGGTATTAAACGAGAATTCTGGTATTTTAAGGGTCATTTTAGGGGTCACCTATGACCAGCTGATGATCTTGCCTAGGTGATAATAACCCCTTGGGGTCGTGTAACGTGGTACGACAAAGAAAAAAAAAAAAATAGATGGTCATGCCTACAAGATAATTTAGCTCATTCAACCAATCCCAGCTTTGAGTCAAATTAATTTATCCCAATTCCCAAAATACACAATCTATGACCGTTTAAAACTGAGACAGCCCCAGGTGTTTGCAGCCGGAAATTAGTGTACAATGGATATAATACTAGCGCAAGCATTGGTACTTTTTCCACTTTCCCTTTATCTGCGGAGATAACACTTTACATTGATCTGCAGTTGAGACAATGTGGTACTCTGTACGGAGTACATGGTTCAATATTATAATTCATATACACTATACCTAGTGAAGAGTACAATTTAGTATACTATGTATGATGTATATTATGGAGTTGTATACTATGATACCCCTTTAAATCAGACTTCCGGTTTACGTTCACTAGGTGTCTTAAGCCGAACCAATTAGGCCGATCGAAGATAAATGTGGCCAGTAGGACAAAGAGTAGGAATCAGCCCCAAAATTCGATAATTTTAATCCATGTGGGAGCTTCGCATTAGGCTACGGTAGGCTTCCAAGAGCTCGCCACGCTCAATTTTCTCTCTCGGCGCGCTCGGCACCAAGCACTTGTCTTCCGCACTAGGGAGCTCACTTTCGCCCCCAAGACTCCCCAAGACTTTGATCAGTGAATCTCCTCTCTCCTGCCTATTACAACGGCAATCCCGAACTATCTAACCTTATCTGCCCCGGTTATTAGCCCCGTCGCCAGGCACCGGTAGACACACCAAGCACTGGGCAGGCACGCAGATCACTAGTGTTGGGCATGGGCGTAAAATGACAGATCGTGGTTCTTTTGCTCCAATCTCATTCTCGGTTATGCGTTGCTAAGTGCGGCGATAGGGGGAGCTGATAATAGATAAGCAAACCCCTGATCAGTATATTTTACATCCCAGCAACCACCCTGGCAACTGGTTGTTTTCAGAAGGTATCCTTCTAGAAGGAATGTGACAATCTCCGATCTACACATACATTACATTACACACACGTCATTAGATCTACTCCGTACAATATCTCGAAATGTTGTTATGTATGTTGTACACCTTGGAACCTAAGGGATGTGGTACGGGGAATGTAAGGGGATCTGGTTATTGGTTGCTTTTGCTTCAGACTTGTATGATGACGTTGTCTGATTTCAAATAGTTATGCAACACACGTCTTCTCCAATTATTAATGTTGAAGTTCTGCGTCAAATTCGGTGAGCCAGTGTGGAGTTGCCTCTTCTAGCTTAGTGCTTCTATACCTACTCCATAGCACTTGTTCGTACTCAGTTAACTATAGATCTGAGATTAGATGTATATAGTGTTTTTAACCATATCCTCCCATTGAAAACAACAAGGCCGGGAAATAAACCAGGAAGCAGTAATCCACATAAAGATTTTTATGCCTTTACAAGTGAATTCACCCGCGCCTTAATCCTTTCTGGAAAGCAAATATCGGGGGCCAATACTCGTCTTATTTTCGACTTCTTCATCTCCGTGAGCTCTACTCTATCAGGTATGGAGAATGACTTCTCCAGAAACACACACCCATGCATTGAGATAATTACAAATGCTAGGTCAAAAAACAAAGCGAAAGAACAAAAAAAATCAAATGTGCTCCACTACCACGAGAAATCCCAAGTCTGTTGATCGCCGTCTAGCCGGATCAGCACATTTCCAGCTGGCCTTTGGGTTCACTGTGAACAATTTCCAATGCTTCCATGGCAGCCACAATGCCTGGCAGCAGTTCAACGACTGTTGAATCTTCATCGAAGTCCACAAGCACGCCTTGCGATGGGGGTATGGTAGTAGATTTGGCGGGCTTGGTGATTTTCGTCTTGTCTTCTGTAAACGTAGGGGTGCTTGTACCCCTACACGTCTGACTCGAGATAGATTGAGCCCGTACAATCTGGATATTCCTAGCGGTGCTCGCACAATTCGGAGTCTGGCTCTCCCCCACTGGCTGGGGGTTGGAGTTGCGATTAGGGGGCCCACGGGTGAATCGTCCACGATTACGACGATTGCCACATCTCAGGCCGGTTGGTGGTGGCTATCAAAGACGTATTAATATCAAATGCATGTTGAGTTCGTATAAATCACTTACAGATGGGGCAAGGCGTGCCGAAGGGGGCGAAGGTATAAGGCGGTTATCTTCAAGAACCATGACAAGGGCACACTCAATCTGACGAAGCTCAGCGCTCAACTCGGCCTTGTCATTTCTGGCCAGCTGTGTTATGAGAGTGTTAACACGACTGGCGAGACCGATGTTGCTATGAAGATATGACTTACCAATCGGTGACTCTCACGGACCAGAGATCGAGCCCTGGTCAATTTTTTCAGGACTTGTTGGGTCCAATGGACCATTGGTTGGTCCCATGGCATCGTGCTGGGAGATAGATAGAATATGAGACTGAAGTATGAGCATCTGACTGCTAAGCTGTCAAGCAGAGAGAAGTGGGGTGTAACCAGGGGTTGAGAAGGAGGGGGGTTCAGTAACGAGATAGATATGATTAAGATGCGAAGTTAAAGTATGTGAATGAAGGGTCAAATAAGATGAGACTAGCTAGCGAAGTGAAGCGGGTTTCTGCGCAAAGGAATGAAATTTAAGATGGCGATAAGCGTAAGATCAGTGGTGATGTTGCGAAATAAAGGCCAAAAAAGATCATAGTTATCGTTCGAGATGCAGCAGGCAGGGGATCATGTAGATGCTGGATATTAAGAAGAGGCTAGAATCAGAATGCGTAATGTGACGAGACTGTGAGGTCGAGGTATAAAATATCTTCGACCTTCTCGCCCACCATCCATCGCCTTCTGCATGTATCTAATTCCTAGCAATAACTTGAACGACTGCATGAGTCAACTGCAATTCCTCACTCTTCATTTACTTCCACACCGTCTTATCAATAGCTCCAACGCTTCCCTGCAGTTCCTCGGCACTGAACACCCAACAACTAATATCTTGATCTTCTCATTGTACCTTTTCTTCCGCATAACTTCATATTTTCTTTTCAAAATGGCTGCTCGAACATTGGACAGAATGCGCAAGGCTCAGTCCCTCCTTCGCGAATGCCATGACTGGGTAAGTCATAGCTACTTTCTTTAGTTTCATCTCAAGTTTTACTGACTTTCTCGACGAACAGCTTGTGGAAAACAACGAGATGCTGCTAGCAGTAGAGATGTGCCAGATAGAAGGCAGCCTCGCACTTCTCTTCGAGAAAAGATGTTTTGAAACTTCGCCATGTCCTGGACTCCAAGAGGAGGATCTTCCCCGCCTTGTGAGTACTGAGTGCTCTCTGCCAAATAAATTTACTTTGAGTTCTGACAATATGTCACCAAAAGCCCCCCTTTAATGGCTACAGGCGCGGCACCCGCCGTGGATCCTACAACGGCCACCGCAGGGCTCATTTAGCCAACAGGGGCGGGATGGAAGTTTCCACAGGTCGCGCCGGCGGCGGACAAAATGTCCGCGCTCAGACAACAAGTACCTATAAGAGTATTTTGACCAAGTCGAACTGCCCTGATGCTGGTCCCAAGGCGCCTCGAGCTCGATCTGCCGTGACAGGAGCATCGCCACCTAGAGGGGTGCTCTTGGATTTCAACGACGACGTGGAATTCGTCCAACTGCCACCAAGTATGCTAGCCAACATGAAAACAGCACAGACAGCCGTTCTCGAAACAAAAGGAAATGAGAGCTCATCGGGGTGGTTAGTTGGCTACAGCAGCGATAAGCCAGCTCCGGGGGTCGAGGTCCGGCTGGACGGTGACGATAAATCCTTATCCCAGACCATTGCTCATACGGCCCATGCTGCCCCAGCAGATCCAGATACCCCTGTCGGCAGCTACTGTCCTCCCCCAGCGGTTGAAGGTGTTATCCCAGTCTCATCCCGACCATATCTGCCAGGTTCGCCCGCATGCGACTCCAAGAATTGTAAGGAGCCCCCTGTGTCGACCACCACAGGAGGTGTCACCGAAGGCATGTTGATTGATCTTGATGACGACCTTGCCGTCATCCTTCCAGCTGGAACTGACGCCGGCACCGACAGCACTATTCATCCAGAAGAAAAGGAAGTTCTTGCAGCAGACCTTGATTCCCGAGTTGAGCACAATCATCAACCAGAGGATTTGGACGAAGATGAAATTGTTTTCCAGGGAAACGCAGCAAAGATCCTTGGTCCGGATTTCAAAGCCTTGTTTGTCAGTTCAGACGATGACTCTCAAACTGCTCGTCGCCCTATTGATCTCAAAGCGATTTTTGAGAAATATTCTGAGGTTGTCATCTGTAGATGACTATCTCCTAGCCTTTTCATTTCGTTTTGCAATTTACATGGATTTCTGCCTGGGTTTCTGCATTTTGTTTCCTTTCCCCCAACTCTACCTGAAATATGAAAAGCCAAAAAAAAGGCATGTTAGGATGGCCTTGAGGGTTATCCTTTTAATTTTCTAGCAGGGCAGTTTCCTTTTTGCTCTTGTTTGTTAATTTTAACATCTTGCGTGTACTGCTCCGAGCAAACTTAGAATATCAAGGTGCTTGTGAGAGGGACATTTCATGATTTCTATGGTTTATGATGAATTTCATGTCCTTTAGTAAATCTTCGCCCTTTTTATTCCCCGGCTGTTCTTATTCGTAGCTTATATTTCGTAGTGGATTGCCATCAGTTATTCAGGCATTATCCATTGACTGCTCCAGCAGAACTACTCGATGATAGATCCATGGGTAGATGAGATATATATAGTATCTAGGTGAGGAGGAGCTAAGGTGCCATTTACACCAGATATGCGATAATTTCGTAAGGATGAACACGGAAAGACATTGAAGATGACAAGTGTAGGATTTATGTTGACCAATGCAAATCATGACATCGTCCATCATAAATAAGGGTTTGCATTCGGTAGTATGGATCAATCGTTCCAATGTTAATTCAAGAAATCAGATATAAGAATGTGGAACGAATTATCTAGATGTATTAAGGGAGATATTTGTTATTATTTGACTACCAAGGAGACTAGGAGAAGGATGAATCAAACTCAGGATTTTATTGAGTATGACGGACTGTAAGAGAAACCATATATAAGATCACCAAGTAAATACCGTAGAAAGGATATGAACTAACAACGTGAAGATCGTGAGATGGCCACCCGAAACAGCGTAAGACGGACATAGAGAAAAGAAATCCAGGCCTTGTGAAATACATAGAAGCCGAAGACAGAGTATAGACAGGATGCCGAGTACGCTAGATATCAAAACAGCCACCATTGTGACTGGATGGGACTGGCTGATGTCTGTTTTCTTTTTTAGACGGCGTAGAGATTGATGGCAATAAATATATCCTATATCTAGAGCACAAACCACCCAGGCCGAAAAAGTCGATATACAATGGGCTATGGTAATACCAAGTAAAATAGAAAGAGCATGATATAATAGATTATTAGGTCCTTTGTCTTCATCTCAATGAATACTCATACAGGACCTCAAACGGGTTGAGACAAGGTCCTATAAAAGAGGATAAAAGAAGGGGCAACAAAGACGGTAAAAAAGACACCATAAAGATCATTGTCAGTATAGAGTTGAAATTATTTTTTCAACTTCCGAGACCATAAATATATGGATTGTATAGGTGTGATGTGGTTATACGTGATATAGAAACTGGGCGTCGCCTCTATCTAGAGATAGCATGGGCTACAAGACCTTTCATCTTGACAGTCGATTAAACTTTTATGTTTAATTGTAGATACACCAGAAATAGATAGCATCCAGGACCTTAAAATACAGCAAGAAATGTTCAAATCAGATGTGCAACATTATGTCGTAAAAAATAGAAGATAGGCCAAGAACATTGAGTATTAAGGAAAAGAAACAAACACCATGTAACTCATAGATGCCTTCAGTCTTTGAACTCCGGCCATGCTTGACCTGCCCACGGGCTAGACCCGAAACCCCCACCAAAATGTAAAAAACAAAAACCTGCAGCCCTGACGCGAGAATGTAATCCGAAAGTTAAACGATAACAAATAAAGATAGTACTGGTAAATTCAAACGCCGAGATCAGGCAACGATGGCAAAGTAGACACTAGAAAATAATGAGCCTGGAAATTAATAACAGAAAGATTAGAGAGGCATACATTATGTGCCAATAAATGTATCATGCAACTTGCAGGATCGGGCGTCACGCCAGGCGTCGTCGTGGAGGAAGAAAAGGTGACGGTATAGAAACTAGGGGAGGGGTGTGCAACGAAAAGTTCAGGGTTTGTATGGGTTGCTTGTTCATCGAAGAAGCTTCTTATTCGGGGCGACGGTTTTAAATTCGACTCTCGGCTGGTAGTGGACAGCACCACCGTCCTCAAGCCAGGGTCCGAGATTCTTGCATTGACTGACATCGAAGACCTGGAGTTGATGGCAGCCCTCCGCAACAGCCTCGACGCCCACTCCAGTCACCCGAACACAGCCACGGACTGATAGATGTCGAAGAGAGAGTAGGTGAAGACCGATGCTCCTTAGGGAGGGATCGGAAATTGCGGAGCCGCAGAACGCCATGTTGAGATACTTCAAATTTGAGCACTGCAAGGCAAGGACTTCGGTTGCCGTATCTGACAATGCGCAGCAAAAAGTCTGGTGGGGATTAGTAAATCATGATATTTCACTTTTAGTTTTAACGTAGACTCACCAAATCTAATTCCTCCAGGTTTTTGGCCGCATTAGTTAGATGCACGATGGCGTTGTCCGTCAAATACGTGCAATCCGCTAAGCACAGCTTTCGCAGGTTGGTGAACTGAGCGTTCCCCCAGTATTTGAACCCTTGATCTGTGATTGTGGTGCAACGAGTCAAATCCATTTCCTCAATCCGACCAGCGGCGTGAGACGCAATGTGATGCATAGATCGATCGGTGACATGTTTGCAGTAAGAGAGAGTGAGTTTCTTCAACTTTGGACAGCCATACACTGAGCATTCTGCTGTCTGGATTGTGGGTTTGATCGATGACTGTTTCTCGCCTATCTTCTGGTCGGCGGGCACTATCCATCCAATGATCCGGGCGAGAAGTGTATCTCCGACCTTGCGGCAATTGCTCAAGTCTACCTCCTGTATATTTGTAGCTTTGCCGGACATGTCAAGGATGGCGGAGGCCGTGACATCCCACACACTCTTCATCTTCCACACGGTGGTATTTGGGGCACAAGTCGCGGCCAATGCCGTGAAGCCTTCGTCGGTGATGTGAAAGCAGTTGTTGATATTGACCGATCGAGCTCGATTACCGACAAAGGGACAGATGATTTTAACAATGACGTCATCTGTGATTCTGCGGTTGTAGACGCTCAAATTTAAATCATGAATCACGTCTGCAGATGTGGTCAAGAGCCCTGACCAATGAGATGACACTGCCCTAATGCGAAGAAGGTGGTGGAGATCAAGGAATTGGAAAATGTTCAGTAGGACACTATCCGGGAATAATCCATTGGAGCCGTCGATCCGGGGCCGTTCGGTCTGATATGACTTGGAGAGGCTGACAGTTTCGGGAAGGGCCAAGGTTGAAGAACTGGCAGAGCGCGGCTCCGTAGGAGATGAGCGCTGCTGCTCCCCTGATCTCTCCTCGGGAGCTAACGGTGCGAGCGAACCACGTCGACTTCGCATCCGGACTTTATCCAGACCAAGGCTGAAGTATGGGTCGGGATCGGAGGGCCGTAACACACCCTGGTCTTGGTCTTCAACGTGCGAGGACTGATGTGGTCCATCCAGTTCAGTTTCAGTGAGGGTAAGTAGTGGCATTGACCGTCGCCGGGATGATGTGATCTTTACTTTGTCGTCGAGGGCGAGATCACCAATAGATGGTTGCGGGTCCTCATCAGACATGACAACATCGCCATCGGCTGCCGCCTGGAGCCTTGCTTGGGCGGTGCGTTGGACTTGTTCCCGCACGTCACTGGGGCATTTCTCCCAGAATTCAGCAAGGACGTCACCGCCGAGCATCAAACATTCAACTGAAGTCACAGATCGAACTGTAGCGGTTCTCCGAGGTGCTAAATCTAGGCTGACCACCTCACCGAAGTATTGGCCTTGCTTCAGCCTTGCTTTGACCTCAATTCCCGGCCGTTCAATGTGCCCATTTGGGCTATTTTTGTTTGCCGACGAGTGGTCCATCTCCGCCTTTTCTGTAAGAACCTCCACCTCGCCGCGAACAATGAAGTAGAGCTCACGGCCCTGAGAATTTTGTTTTATGATGTCGGTAAATGGAGGGAAAGATCGCGGTTGGGCATTGAGACCAAGGTAGTGGAGGATATCGGCAGGCAACCCGGAAAAAAGCGGCAGCTCTTTAAGCAAGAGACGTACGTTGACCAATCCATTTGCCAATGCACTAGAGCCATCCCGCCGACCGGGACTCGGTGACTTCCTCTTCTTGTACACAGACTTGGCACTCAAGTCCCCATCATCCTCTGCAACAGCTAGATCCTTTGAAAAGCTCTCGCGCAGTCTTTTTGAGCCTCTTCTTGCCGGGCTGGGCAGATCCAGTGCAGGCGCGGAGGTTTCTTTTTTTTTCTTTTCTAAAATCATCAACCGCTCCTCTGCCTCCTCCCGGATCGCCTGTTCAACTTCCGGGAACCGAGGCAATATATTCCGAAAGTCGTCTTTTGTCAGCACGACCAGCATGCATCGAGTCCGGGCGATAATGGTCGCAGTGCGAGGACGGTCCATGAGCAAGCCAATCTCCCCGAAGAACGCACCCGGCTTGAGTTCGGCGTATATACTCTCGCCATCCCGAGATGTGACCGAAACGGCACCCCGCACCAGCCAGTATATTGCCTTTGCCTCATCGCCTTCTGTCAAGATATAATCGTTGGGTGCGTGGAGCTGTGGGCGCAGGTGCTGTCCGACCTCGATCAAAAAGGATTCTGGAGTAGCTTGAAATAAAGGGAAAGATCGCAACCGATCCACCAGTTCCAAGGGCAAAGCTTTAATGTGGGAGGAGGCCAAAGGCGAGGGGCGTGCGGGTCGGTTTGGGTTCATGACCGAATCGAAGGAACGTATGAGGGATACAGTGTCGGACAAGGGCGAGACGGCCTTGGTTGGACCGCCACTGGACCTGCCATGGCGACGCATTGTGATCTAGGTATTCTGAATGAGGATGTGGGATGGATTCAATTATTTCTCCCAGGCATAAAGAGGTCAATAAATCGATGACGTCGACGAAAGCAGCGTCGAACTTCGCATCGGCATCTTCAGCGCCCAATTGCTATCGCGGAGTTTAACGGACAGACATAAATGTAGGGTGCAGGGAAGAAGCAAAGATTGGGGGAGAAAAAAAGGTCACGACAAGGTCGAGCTAAGGTCTTGAGGTGGGGGGTTTCCGACTCAGCGACGTCAAATGCGGTTTCTCCACCGATCAGCTGGGAGCCTTCGGAAACTCTATGAGAACCTCCACTTTGGGATTTCGAGATGTTGAACTGTTTTAATATCTTCTGTATCAATATCGATAATATAGATCGATATAGATGTACATTGGTCTTGAAATTCTTTTTCTTTCTTTCTTTTTTTTTAGTGGGGGACGTCAGCACTGAGCGGTCAATCATCATCCTTTGAACCTGCAGCATCCGGGCCGATCTTCTATCATTTTGGCTTATCCCCGGAAACAAAGGAACACGTGAGTTAGGAAATGTACGGCGTAGGATTCGTTGTCAGGGTCTCGAATCAGAAATCAGCTAGTTCACTTTATTTTGTCCATCTTTATGTCGTGGCAGCCGTCAAGTCTTTACCTTGAATTATATTACTTTCTAGGGTTAGGTACTCACCCAATAATCACTATATTTATCGCCTAACTTGTTTAACTTGTTTATAAAACTTCACAAGATTCTAGTCCAAATGCGATCTAGTAACGCCACAATGGCGTTGGTGATCGGCTTGGGGCATGATCATACTCCCACACAGAATCCGGCGATGGGTCACGTGCCCCTATGTAGCACCCCAAGGGCAAAAATGTTCATCTTGTTTGATGCTAATTGGACAAGTGGGTATCTAAGAATGCAAATAATACAAGTATCCAAGATTATGGTGTGAGCGTTGCTGCCGAAGAACACCATCAGACGGATAAAGGCCGGGGCGGTCACCGGACTAAATATCTCAGAATGGCTCGACGAAGGCCTGGACATAATAATTGGGGCGGCATGGACTCGGATATGTGGCCCCTCTCGCCGGCGTCGAATCCATACCACCTGTAGCAGCATACATCGCAGCCATTTCTCGATCGAAGGCCGAAGCCCGTCCTTGCAATGGGAGAGCCTACAGGGTTGGTTCCCGGCATTGGGGACATCTCAAGCGTGCAGCGAGACTAGGACATCCGCACACAGAATAATCTGGGGAGCCATTGTGATTGGGCCCACCTATGATCAGATTGATCCTTCTTTCTCGACCTTAGACCGACGGTTACCGAGGAAGAAATCAACGTAGGCAGGGCGGTTTCCTTTCAAAGTCTCCAGGGCATCTTGCAAAAGGCCATAGGTCAAACTCAATTTCAACCCAAGCTTCGCTGTGCGGGCGGCAGTATAAACATCGTGACGAGCTGTGTGGGTGAGCTAAAGTCAGCTTCGATTCCTCCGGTAATGTCACCTAAGCGGAATAGTTTCCTTACCAATCAAACTGTATATTCCGGAGAACGACAGCCCTGCGGTAACTGTTGATAAAAAGTCTCTCTCGTCATGCCGAGCGTAGTCTACTGTTTCCTCGAAGAGGCAGAATGCAAGTGCACCAGCACCGAGCTTGAATCCCATCTTCATGCCATCTTTGACGCCTCCAACCACACCGATATAGTTTTTCGTTTTATGGTACTGGAACCACCCTGTCGATGTCGTGGGGAAACGATGCGCATTCTCAGCCCGAAACACAAGCCCTGCCTTTTTGCTGCCGTGATAGTATCCTAGTGCTAGCCCAGTCGAAAAAGCGGACAGGGTAGCATACGGTAACCGCTTGCCGAACTCAATGCCTAATCGTGGAGGGCTGTCGGATTCAAATAACTTGTCCCAGTGGACGATCTTGAGGACGATGGAATTGTGCTGCGAGTTGGTAGATGAGGGCCGATTGGTCTCCATGATAAAACCTTTAAAAGAAGAATTAGGGGCACTAGCAGCAAATTTCAAGGGTGGGCTGTAGAGAACGTGGTGGATATGAGCAACTGATGCTGGCAAAGCTCAGAAATTCGGAGCGCGGAAGGCGGAGTCCTGCCAGATTCTCCGCTTTCCGTCACTCTCCTAAATTAATTGTCACAACGCGACCTACTTTTTAATTCCCCCGCAATCTCTAAGATGGTATGTGGATCGGCCTTTTTAAATAAAGATTATTGGATAGGATGGCTAATTACCGAGCAGCCGCCTAAGCAATCCAAAACAGACTCGCGCGCTGTGACCCTCCTCTTCAAGAAGCATAAAACAACTGTGCTTCTGATGCTCCAACCACACGAACCACTCGGCTTCACCAAAGAAAGACTTCTGGGTGCCCTGAAATCGCGAGAAGTTACCGAGATAAATGGTGACATTGTTCCTGATGACTCCGACGACGTTGAGTTCGGTGAGCCTATCGACCGAGCGGACCTCGAGAAAGGCTGGAAGCGCCTCAAGTCACAGAATGAGTCAGTAACTTTAATGGAGGCGGGTTTGCAGAACGGACATTCAGTTGCCTTCCGCTTTCACAAATCTACCGAGGGCAAAAATGGTGGTGTTGATATGGACCTTGATGGTGAGGATCCAGGCTGGGATGTCGTCATGCCGACCTACAACGATGAGCCACAGGAAGAGTGAGAAAGGATGAAGTCAGAGGATACAAGTCTGTGGCTTTCGGCGTTTCAAGGGTAGGACTGCAGTTATTAGAACCGACATATGGCGTTTGTTTAGGCGAAAAATGGTATTAGGACAACAGCAATACCAAAAGCGATGTTTCTCGTTCATATGTAACATGTATAACTCCAGAGCAAATATACACGCATTATGGTAGAAACAACTGATATTAATACTCACCGTAAGTAATTTTGGGAATTTTTTTTTCAGTGGTAGTCGATGACATAATACATTTAATATCATGATCAGCCTCTACAGCTATTGTTTAAACATTTTGAGGTTAGTACTATGTATGCAAAGCCTAATAACCACAGTTTGGCCGGCGATCTTCGATATGGGAAAATAGTGTGTGTTAATAGAGCAAGTGTGACGTGTACAACGCTTGAAACACACAACATGTTATGGAACTGGGAACTTTTAGTACCCAGGAGCTTTTATTGCCACGCGCAAACAACCAACACCACTATAAAACGGTTGCTCGGAGCAACCACTAGATGACAACACATACACGCATCAACAAATGAAATCGCTTCAAGGAGCCCCCCCCCTCGGAGAATACTTGCACCCCCTACCCCATACAACTTTAGATCCATTCTTCGACTCTTCTACATTCCTAATTTTCGACGCCAAATAGCTAAGCTTCCCCCTTGGCCTTGCCATTGCAGGGTGTCGCCAACTGCCTGACGTACCGGCCCCGCAAAACAGCTTGACGACTTGGGGTTGATCCGACCCGACCTTCCACTATGGCTGCCTCCGACGGCGCTTCCTCGATTAGCGTTGCAGTCAGAGTCCGTCCTTTTACTATCAGGGAGGCAGCCCAGATCACACGATGTGACGAGGGTCCCCTGTTCCTCGGCGATGGTTCCCTCGCGGGCGCGCCGACACCGAAGCTTAACCAGAAGGGTATACGATCTATCGTCAAAGTGATTGACGACCGCTGCTTGTGAGTATTCTACGCATTTTGAATATTGGATCCAACATCCTAACCGGACTAGGGTGTTTGACCCCCCAGAAGATAATCCTGTCCAAAAGTTCTCCAGGAGCGTGGTGCCAAATGGTAAGCGTGTCAAGGACCAGACCTTCGCCTTCGATCGCATCTTCGACCAAAACGCTTCCCAGGGGGAGGTATACGAATCTACAACACGAAGCCTGCTCGACAATGTGCTCGATGGATACAATGCGACGGTATTTGCGTATGGAGCTACTGGATGTGGAAAGACCCATACAATCACCGGAACTGCCCAACAGCCCGGTATCATCTTCCTCACTATGCAGGAGCTGTTTGAGCGGATTGACGAACGAGCAAGCGAAAAGTCGACCGAAATTTCTCTATCCTACCTCGAGATCTATAACGAAACCATTCGTGACTTGCTTGTTCCTAGTGGTAGCAGTGGAAAGGGTGGATTGATGCTGCGGGAGGATTCCAACCAATCAGTCTCAGTCGCCGGGCTGTCAAGTTACCACCCACAGAATGTGGGAGAGGTGATGGACATGATCATGCAAGGAAATGACCGCCGCACCATGTCTCCTACCGCAGCAAATGCTACATCATCCCGATCGCATGCGGTCCTTCAGATCAATATCGCGCAAAAAGATCGAAATGCGGACGTCAATGAGCCTCACACCATGGCGACTTTCAGTATCATCGATCTAGCGGGAAGTGAGCGTGCTAGCGCGACACTGAACAGAGGAGAACGTTTGTTCGAAGGCGCCAATATCAACAAGTCTCTATTGTCATTGGGAAGCTGCATCAATGCACTATGCGACCCACGAAAGCGCAATCACATCCCCTACCGAAACTCGAAGCTCACTCGATTACTTAAGTTTGCTCTTGGTGGCAATTGCAAGACAGTCATGATTGTCTGCGTCAGCCCCTCAAGCCAGCACTTTGATGAGACCCAAAATACTCTTCGATATGCGAATCGAGCGAAAAATATCCAGACCAAGGTCACACGGAATGTGTTCAACGTTAATCGACACGTGAAGGACTTCTTGGTCAAGATCGACGAGCAAATGAATTTGATCAATGAGCTCAAAGCACAGGCAAAGGACCATGAAAAGGTGGCCTTTGTCAAGTTCCGCAAGCAGGGTGAGAAGAAAGACGCCGTTTTGCGTGAGGGTGTCGCCCGGATTCGCAATGCTTACGAACACACGTTGCCCGAGAGGCAAGAGAAGACCAACAACATGCTGAAACTAAGGCAAATTGGCCGCAGAATTGGCATCTTGTCGTCTTGGATTGCGGCCTTTGATAATGTTTGCGCCGCGCGCGAAAATGAGGAGGGATTGTCGAACCTATATGCCGTTCGCAAATCTGCGCAGGGGATCCTCCTTGAGCTGGAAGGTAGCAGGCATCATTACAACCAGAAACTATCAAAAAGCACCTGGGATCGACCGGTGAACTCGGCGGTTGAGAACGCGGCGAAGCAGCTTCAAGAGTTTGACATTACCGATAACAGTGACTACGCCAATTTGAACCGAGAAGCGGATCTTCTTCGGTCCAATGCAGAGCGTGAAGCATTGACAGCTGTGATAGAACAGGACAAGGCTGGGGAAGCTGCTGCTGTACAGCTTCTGTTGCAAGCCCAGTTTGAGATGATGAACTCCATCGAGGATATCATGCAGCTAAACGCAAATGAAGCTATTAAAAAAGGGCGGACCATCCTTACAAAGATGTTAGAGGATTGTGCAGATGCAGCAACCAACCTCGTCAAACCAGATGGCAACATGCCGTCCGTACCGAACATCGGCTCTGCCCGGCCTGCAAGCCCGATGAAAATAAAGAAGCGCTTCAGCTTGGTGAGCATGCCGCCAGTATCAACTGCCAACCCTCCAGTTACACTCACCCCTGCTCCTCCCGTTTCACCAACCAAGGGCTCTCCACGTCGCCGTAAAGGCACTGCCGGTCGAAAGAGTGTCAGCTTTACGCCAAAGAAAGCCCAGGTGAAGATTCCCAAACGATCTGTCCGATGGAAAGACGATGAGGAAGACGGCACTTTGACCGAATTCCAAAAGACCCCCAAGAAGGTCGACTCTGCCGATGAAGCCAGCTTCGAGGAGTCATGGTTGCCACCTCGATCGGGATCCCCTATTCCACGGAATATCCCGAGGGTTATAAGCCCGTCGGGTTCTATCTCTCCTACCCCTGACGAGCCTGCCGAATCCGCTGGACCTACCTTGAACATTCAAAAGAACAACAGTCGCTTCAAGGCAGGATTTTTAACCAAGAGAAATGGAAGCTCACCATTGGCACCACCACCTTCATCCAGCCTTCCTCTTTCAAGAAGAGACAGCTCCCCTCTCCGTGATATTGAAGGAAGCAGCTTTATGAACCGCCCCTCGACGGAGCGCCCATCACGGATCGCTGTTCGTAGTCCCAGCGGGAACTTCTCGAGCAGTCCAGTATCCGAAAACAAAGACAACTGGAAATCGGACAAGGAAGAAGCAATTAAGATCAATTCGGCCATGCGACGCATGTCTAGTGGGCGGATTGCTAGTGGACAATTCAGCGCTCCATCCTCCAATGCCCTGCGAGTTCACCGTCGTCGCAGCCCGACTTCCAACACTTATGGGGCCCCGCCAGCAGACAACCACATGTTCACCGCATCGCAAGCTCGACGCATGGTGAAGAGTGAGAGAGAGCACGATGCTAAGCCTCGGGTCTTGAGTCCTCATACTCTCCCAGTCATGAAGCACACGGGACGCCGCACAACATTGGGTGGAGACGGTCGACCTCGAAATATCAGCCTATCCAGCAGAGATGCTATTCGCCTCAGTGCAATGGCAGCGCCCCCTGCTGAACCCAACTCCCAAGCGTGGTAGTGGGCTCTGGTGAATAAGCCCGAATTCTTCATGGACGGCTTTGATTTTTAATTCTTCAATTGTTTTCAATTTGCTTGGAATTGGCGTTTTGTTGGCGTAGCAGATACCACTTTTTTTTGGGTACATTTGTACGACGGAATTCCTACTGAATTTTAGCCTATCATTTCTGTCTGTTGCCTTGGTGTTCAGCTAGCAGCTTTTGTACAATAACCATAACAATCAGATAGGGTTGGCTGGAAGCCCTAATCTTTCAATCCCTGCCGAATTCCCCGCGCTGCTTTGTAAAGAAATGACGCCATCGCCAGACTCCAATTCTCGAGCTCCCTTACATTTCTTCTCTCTTTTCTTCTCTATTTCTCCTTATTCTTCCTAAATATATCATCTTCAAACCGCTCCATTTCCATCATCTCTACAGCATCCTGTACGGCCCCTTTCACTCCCGAACCCACGACCATCCCCACTTATCAAGTACGTCTCCACCATCACCAGAATTTCTGCAGATGACTTTCGCCGCTCCGGTTACCTCAATCCTTTTCTCACGCTTCTTCCGTTCCTTCTCCACCAGTTCGGCTTTTTCCTTGACGCCAGAAACGCAATCCCGCAAAATGTCAGACACACAAACCGCGACCGTAGCAGCCGGCTGCTTCTGGGGTGTTGAGCACCTGTACCGCAAGAATTTCGGCAATGGTAAAGGCCTCCTCGACGCCAAGGTGGGCTACTGCGGTGGCGCTGTTTCGTCGCCATCGTACCGAGCTGTCTGCTCTGGTTCAACTGGACGTAAGTGCTGTGCTATCTGAGACAAAAAAAAAAAAACGCGGAGTTCCTTATCGCGATCGCATCTTCAAATACTTATTTCTTTTTTTTTTTTTTTTTTCTCTCCACAGATGCCGAGGCCCTCCGGATAGTCTTTGATCCCTCAATTGTGACCTACCGCCAGCTTCTCGAATTTTTCTACCGCATGCACGACCCCACAACAGAAAACCGGCAGGGTCCGGATGTTGGCACACAATACCGCAGTGCGATCTTCACGCACGGGGATGAGCAGCATAAGATCGCGGAGGAGATTACAGAGAAAGTCAGCAAGGAGTGGTATAAGACGCCGCTTTCTACCAAGGTCCTGCCGGCAGGCCAGTGGTGGGATGCAG